GCATATATATTTTAATGTAAATCCATTTCCAATTCTTCTTGTATGTAATAGCTATCATTAATTTAAACTGTAATTGGTATAATATACTCCCCCATTTTCTTTCAAAATCTATTTTATATATATATATACTTGTAAACATTTATATGTGTGTAAATAAACAAAAGTTCAATGTTAAGTTCAAGTTATTTGAACTTCAATGATACGCAAAACTGTGTACATTTACGAACATTTGTGTAGTACATGATATTGCACGAAAGAGATGTATTGAAATTTTGGAATTTTTCATTGTTTTTCCTCTCCCGTAAGCGACCACCCAAGAGCCAGTAATGGTGACAAGTAAACTGCGTGATAAAACATCCTAAATGACCCGTAAATCTTCTGTCCATTCGCTAACTACCGTAGTTAGCGTGTTTTCGAGGCTACGAAACCTAAGAAACCATAAGAGGCGAATGTATAGGCCAACAGATGGTATGAGCTTATAAAATCAGCAAAAATACGGTTCTAAATTTTAACAAATTCCTATGAATTACATATCTAAATGTTCAGGAAAGCCCGGGGTTTTCAAATCCACTTCTGTTTTTTTGACAGGTTCTGTTTTATTTCAAGGAGACACGATTTTCTATCTTGACCCCGGTTATGTCATGCATTTTCTCTTGTAAAATACACCCAATAGCGTACATTCAACTCAAAAAGTACGGTGGTTTTTTTCAATAGAATTCAATCTAATCCATATAAGTCCGTGAATAGTTGAATTAACTGAATCCACTTCTGTTTTTTCCTAGATAGTCATTATTTTGAGAAAAGATCCAAAAACTGTGTTTTTGAGACATAATTTGCATGGGCTCAAATGAGGGGGCGTGAGCTTGAAATCGTAGCTGACCAAATGTTAACAGATTTTTTCTGATGTATCATTAAGTTGGAAGAAGAATCCGAAAACAGCCTGGTTTGTCATTATTGGATCTATTAGACTCGGTCCAGGTAATTTCAATCGTAGAAAGATTTTGTAACCAGAAATCGGAAAAGAAAGGATTGAAGCCAATCAGAATTGAATTGATAAAGACAACAGTTTGTTTGCACAAAACATAACTCCGACTATCGCCTTACTCGGATCACAATACCCTCAATGAAATGAGTAATCAAGTGTCATTTGATATCATCTTAGTTCATGGTACTCAAAAAGCTTCATGAGCTTACCATGGGTTACCTTCTGATTATTACTTGAGCCAAATTGTAACAACAAATTAATGGCGGATGAAAAGTAACTGCAACATTTTGGCACCTTTCTTTAATTAAAATATCAGAAAAATATTCCAGTGAGTGATTATTAATGTATCAATGATTAATTCAGCAAAGCTCCAGCTCGAATGAAAGAGTTTTAATTTTGGAGCGATTTTCGTCCAAGTAGCACTTGTCAATAAAGGTTCACTGATCACTTGGCGTGAAATCCCTTCGCTTTCAGAGTACTTATGCTTATTCAGTTATTTGCTCTTTGGGGGATCAAGCAAAATCAAGAGCATTCGCAGTAGATGTTTTAAGTCAAAGAGTTCACTCACGGCCCTCAAAAGAGGAAGTGCCTTGATCTCAAGTAACTTGTAACTGAGGAGGTTCTTCGCCTTGTTTGTAGTGAAGTTTCCAATGTGTGTTCAAGGAGTTCAAGAACCCTCGTTATTAAGACGAAAAAATCATGCAATGTTAAATTTCATGTTGCAATCACTATTCGACGGGAATGCAAGACCAAGGCTCCGATTTTATGTGTTTATGGCTACTATTTTAGCCAATCTGGATTGAGCTGCCAGATTATTTAACAATTATTCGCCAAACGCGAAGCGATTATCGATGAACATTTACCGAGCCGTGAAAAAAATGCTATTTTTAAAAGTAGATAGTTAATAAAAGACAGAAAGAAGTAAATGATGGGGTGGGGAGAGTTGTTGTCCTTCTGAGATCTCTATGATTAATATGTAGATTAAGCACTAGTTAGGAAAATATATTTTCAAACACTAGCAACTTCCTTGGGAAAATTAAACCAAAGCCTATTTATATCCTACCGCTAGAAATTCTGACATTTCTTTATCGTTTAATACTTATTAATAAAATAATATTTTATAACTTTTAGTGTTTTTGCGCTTATATTGTACGCGTGCACAAATCGAACGTTCTCAGTAAAGTAGTCAGCCATACTCTAAACTATGCTCTGCTGACTTCTAAAACAAATCTACAACTAGTTTTCCTTTGACAACTATATAAGATTGTCAATGTTTGCAATGTTCACTGAATGACCAGAAACTGAGGCCTGAACGCTGCTTCATATAAAAACACCATCAAAGGATAAATATGAACCAATTCTTCTCAAACTCATTCATAAGCTCAGCAACCAATGGAGGGGCACTTTTCAGATCACGTGGATGGTTTTGAAACCTAATGAAAAACCATTTTTTTCACTAGTGTTTGAAATATTTTCATCACTAGTGTTTGAAATATTTTCATCACTAGTGTTTGAAATATTTTCATCACTAGTGCTGAAATATTTCTTAATCTACATATTTGTCGTGGGTGTCTCAAAATAGCTAGAAAAATTTGTCATCCACTTTTCACCCATTTGCCTCATTTGTTTACCTCTCTCCTTTACTTCTTATACTTCTATCTACTATCTACTTACGTAATCAACTTTTTCTTTTCTTTTTACCTTGGACTTACCATGTCTCGAACCTCGGAACCTTTGCGTGTTAGTCTACTGATTCACCAACTATGCCAACGAAGAATTTTCTGACAAAGTTGGGTTGGATCTATATTTTATTTTATTTTTTTCCCAATACAACTGCTCTACGTATATTAAATAAAAAATAAAAACAAGGAAACTTCTTTTCCTGCATAACAAATTATTAACTCATTAGAGAAATAATTTCAAAAACTCGTGCTTCGTGTTTCATTAGGGTTTCAAAACTCTCAAAAACAATAAAAGCTCTCGGCCTACGACCTCGTGCTTTCAAATGTTTCCTCGTGTTTGGAAACACTAATGAAACAATCTCACTCGTTTTTGAAATATTACTTGAAGCTTTCAAAAAATTTCAAGTTCACACATGATTTATTCCCCAAGACTGATTACACTGTACAGCTTGGTAAACAGCTGGTTATTTATTAAAATAGAACTTTTAGGAAAATTGGCTCAAATTTCCCTGTGCGGTTTTTCTATGAACGTCATAGACTGCATCAGCCAATTACTCAGCGGAAGCAAACATTTTTAACTAATCATGGAGCGACAATTGTTTGTTAACCAATATATTGAATGTTAAACAGGCCTTAGTCAATTTTATGTTAGTTTGCTTTAGTAAAGTTAAATCGTTGACAATTAGCCTTGATACAAAAATATTGGTAAAGGAAGCAGTTTTCAGCTCTATAAACGGAGGTAAAAATCATTTAGAAAATGAATAACAAAGTCAAAATAGCTGGGTCGATCTTTGGAGTACCGATTATTCTCTTTGGTATTATTGGCAACTGTTTGGTGGTAATGGCGGTATCAAAGAAACGATCTCTGCGATCGACTACAAACTATCTTCTCGTGAACCTAGCTATTTCAGATGTAACATGCTTAATTTTCTCTTTAATGGCAGTGTTTGCTGAATATATCCCCATGACGAGTGGTACACTGGCAGACATTATGTGCAAGTTTTTTTTATCTTACAATGTTCCTGCTATGGCAAGCATCGTATCTATACTAACACTGACTGTACTTGCTGTGGAGAGATACCACGCTGTTGTCAAGCCGACGAAAAGGTGGATGAGACTGAAAGAAAACACCATCAAGTATGCTTTCTGTGCAATTTGGCTGACTGGGATTCTCTGTACACTACCTATGTACATTAACGGCTACTATAAGGAGACATCAAAGTCGTGTCGACAATATTTATACTGGAATCGCTTGGACTACCTTATCTATCAAGTCTCAATCCTTAGTTCCGTCGTCTTCGTTTCCTTTGCTGTGATAGTGGTATGCTACTTTCATATCGTTAGAGATTTATATTTTGGAAAGAAAGACGTTAATTTTGGAGAGCATTCAGCAGCAGAAAGACTTCGTAATCAACGCAAGCGTCATGTAGTCAAACTTTCTCTCTCAGTCACTTTGGTTTTTGTTGTATTTCTTCTTCCTTTTGGAGTTTTGGCGATTATGAAGTTCTTTAATGAACGAGCCTACCGAAGCTACTACAAAATAGCCGCCATTTTGTTTTTCTCAGAGGCTGGTATCAACCCTTTTTTGTATGCTTTTCAAAGTACAAAATTTCGACAGGCGTTCAAACAGATATTGAAAGGTTCTTAACTTTAACTTGTAACGACGATCTATAGGTCTTCATTATTAAAGCCAAGTTTTCATTTATCCAAAAAATCAGCTCCTAATTAATTGCGAGTGCTTTAGTCATGATCGTCTGTCTCGATAGACCTAGTAATCTCTCCCTGCGCAATTGGCGTAACCAATATTAAGCTCATTTTTTCATTGATTCAGACTACATTTTCGATATACTTTCGAAACAAAGGAATCTTCATGGAAATACGATGGACAAGATTATGGTAATTGAATCTTGACAATTTTGAGACACTAACTGTGGTGTTCCTCAAGGGACTTTGTTTGTGTCCTCGTTTTGTTCCTTCCGAAATTTGGATTTGTAGTCAAAGATGGATCAAGAAGTTTTTTGACAAACATTTTTCTCGACGAATCGACAAATCAAAGACTTTCTCTCAAAACTTTTTATACTTCTATAGATAAGCTTAATTTATTTCAATTCTGGGGTAAATATAACACGGAGAGCATATTACAACAAATATTCGTCCTTTATTTAGCTTTGTAAATCTTTAACAATTCGGTTGTTTTCAACCAACTATATATATATCGTATGTTTTTTGTTCAAGAAAAATACAGCTTTGTTCGCCTCCTATCGCGGGGGTCCTATCGGCAAAACAAAGAAGACTTTCATTCGATAATTTTATATCTTTCTACAGATAATTTATTTAATTGTTGAATGAAATATAGATTTTTAACAAATATATTCATCTGTGTTGGTGAGAGATGTTATTGTATAAAGACCTAGACTTTCACTTTAAAAAGCTAAAAAATATTCAAAAACATTTAAAAACGCCAATTTACTGACAAAGAAATTAGTCATTTTGTATTTTGCATTGCCTTTTGCATTATTTTCTATTTTGTCTCAGATGTTCTTGTCAATGTTCTTGTTTTTTGGTCTTGATTTGCCCTAAATCTCCAGATTTTCGAGTTCAATGAAATACATGCGAGATAAATTTCACCAAAATATGATAATGTATTGGATTATCTGTAGTTATCTTTGGTTTTTTCATTGGAAAAAATTGCCCATAAGATTGGAATATTTGCTCTTTTCGGTCTTTTTACTCTCTTTCCAAAGCAAGAGGTTGTTCTTAAAAGTAAAGTCATATAGCACAAGTCAAACTGCGTGACAAAACATCCTAAATGACCCGTAAATCTTCTGGGTTTTTTTTGCTAACTTGTAGTTAGCGTGTTTTCGAGGCTACGAAACCTAAGAAACCATAAGAGGCGAATGTATAGGTCAACAGATAGTATGAACTTATAATATCAGCAAAAATACGGTTCTAAATTTTAACAAATTCCTATGAATTATATACCTAAATGTTCAGGAAAGCCCGGGGTTTTCAAATCCACTTCTGTTTTTTTGACAGGTTCTGTTTTATTTCAAGGAGAGTCGATTTTCTATCTTGACCCCGGTTATGTCATGCATTTTCTCTTGTAAAATACATCCAATAGCACATATTCAACTCAAAAATTACGGTGTTTTTTTCAATAGAATTCAATCTAAACCATATAATACAGTCCGTGAATAGCTGAATTAACTGAATCCACTTCTGTTTTTTTTGCCTAGATAGTCATGCATTATTTTGAGTAGAGATCCAAAAACCGTGTATCGTAGCTGATCAAATGTTAACAGATTTTTTCTGATGCTAAGTAAAAGAGATTCAAAGCCTAAAACTGTCGTCCTTGGAAAACTTCCGTATCGAGAGCTCAGCTTTTAGGCAGTGCCTAAATATATATTATCTGCTATAAATCGGTCTTCATTTGCATAAACTTTAACTTGAATTTCCTCTATCAAACTTGGTTCATTTCGTAAAGAATTCTGTACAATATGAGAACATACATCATGAGTTTTTTAAGTACTGTTTAATAAACGAGCAGGAGTGTTTTATCGGGTATAAAACACGAGGCGTAGATATAACGCACGCTGTGATTGGTTCACCACCTATGAAGAAAAAATGCATGGAGCACTCGTATGGAGCACGCTGGTGAAGTCAATTTGGTAAAAATTCGGTGAAAATTGCAAGCATTCTGATAAAACTAAAAAGACTACTAACTGGTCTACCTTTCTGTACATTTAAGGCAAAATATAACTATTGATTTCCTTTCCATAAAAAGTTTATAGCGTATTTGTTTGAGCTCAAGTTTGGCTTACTAAAAAACTCGCCCTTCCACCGGCCAGCTCACTACAAGTCTTGAAGTTGAGAAGTCAATTAGTTCAGTTTTTCTTGCTCAATCCGCCGTACAGGTCACCACAGTAGTCCAGCAAAACACCACGATGGTTACTGGAGTCCAAGTAAAGCCACTGATGCATTCGAAAAAATTACAAAATTTTTAGATAATTTGTGATGCAGCCAAGCGCCATACCAACGAAAATCGCTAAATCGACTTCCATTCAGTCAAATTAACTTGAAAACTTTCTTGTGAATGAAAACTTTTAAGAATACATTTAGGAACAGCTTCCCTGGAGTCCTAGTCTATTGATAGTGCACTTGGATAGTTCGGAGAACACTCTTACGTTACCATCGCCCTCTCCCAACTATCGGCGTGCACCATCAATAGATTTACGCACGCTAAGCATTGACCATTGCTTAATTTCATGGCGTGCGTTCGTATGATGAAGCGAAATTTGCTGCGGGTTTTTGTTGTTAAAAATACTACTAATAATAATGATAATAAAAGTAATTGCTTTTTAATGTAAATAGCTTTTATTTTTTTTTATTTTTTTATTTTTTTTCACTGCGATTTCAATTCTTTTGCACTATGATTTGGGAAAAATCACCGAGTAGCCAACCAATCAGAATCGAAGATTTTTGATGGTCATGTTATTAGACTGAACTTAAATCCTAAATGTCATTCTGTCTCGTTTGAATCGGTTCTGCATCGAGACCAAGCTCTGAAGTCCGGACTAAAACCTAGCTACCCATCACGTCTAACCAAAACCAGAGAAGTGGTTTCCAAATATAAAACAATCCAAACTTGTCAGAGCAACTCAAATCGCTCCAATTGCACTTTTCATCAGAAAAAATCTGTTAACATTTGGTCAGGTACGATTTCAAGCTCACGCCCCCTCATGTGAACCCATACAAATTATGTTTCAAAAACACAGTTTTTGGATCTTTTCTCAAAATAATGACTATCTAGGTAAAAAAACAGAAGTGGATTCAGTTAATTCAACTATTCACGGACTGTATTATATTGTTTAGATTGAATTCTATTGAAAAAAACCACCGTACTTTTTGAGCTAGTTGAATGTACGCTTTTTGATGTATTTTACAAGAGAAAATGCATGACATAACCGGGGTCAAGATAGAAAATCG